TCAGCACAATTAACAAGAGCACTTTGTTTGTTAGTCAATTCCGCGTTTGCATAAGCGTGCTTTGTAGTTTAGCTCGCTGTTTAGCCTGATCCACACCTCTCAGTTAGTCCTTACAGAATCTTCCACTGCGAGCATTACTAGAGTTTTTATGCAGGCATTAGTACAGATAAGGAAAATTGAGACTGTAATGGCCGCTTTCACTTGCTAACCGCTGTTTGTCGGCCACCACCAAGCCCGCAGCTGGATGAAGGAGGTTCGAACTCGGATCATTTGGCCACTGTACGATAAGTGGTCCTCACTCTGCCAATGAACTACGGGCCCGTTGTCCTGTCCTGTGAGATCGGAAATATTACCTATGATGGAAGTTCGTCCACCCACACGCCCTGTCCTGCATATATTATTGGACGCTATGCAACCGCCAGCGAGGTTTCTAGCTTGAGCCCTAAGGCGCAACGGGACAAGTATGTCTTGCAACCTGATTGATGAACGCCCATCCTATGATAGTCGAGAGTTCCATCAATTTACCTTGCAATCACTTGAGATGCAGTGTGGCGGGCTAGATCGCAGATGGTAGCCAGGCCCCGTATTACAGGTGGCTGGGGGGTTTGTTTACAGGGGCTATTTTGTGGGGTTCCATAATCACATCTGACCCATTTGGATTCCGTTTTACGTCTGAGGGTAGGATTAGGGTACCGGTTAACCTTTTCCGAATTTCAGGTTAGGGTTATGCCTTTAGGCTTAGGTTTTTGGGTAACGGTTAGGGTTTGAGCGTACGATTAGGTTTCAGTATTACGGTTAGGTTTTCCAGTCACGGCTATGTCTAAGGGCTACGGTTGTGCTTAAGATTTCGGTCAGGGTTAGGGTTAGGGTTAACGGCTAACGTTTAGGTTGAAGTTAGGGTTAGGGTTAGGATTAGGATTAAGGTCGTCGCCCGCTCCCCCATTCCTGGCTACCAAATGCGATCTAGCCGTGTGGCGAAGATTATCCATTTCAGTGGCTCTTACAGTTGATAACCGAAATCGTCATTTGATGTATGCTCTGTGAGTACTCGGGACGCATAAGTGTTCTTTTGCTTCTGGGAGCCATTCCAAGCGCCCATTGCCCTTTTTCTTGAAATTTCATGCTACATGCGAAACATTACTTGCTGGAGATTAGAGGCTTCTGCTGTAAATCCTCCCGATTGCCCAATTTGCTTTGGTGTATAACTGTGCTCTAATTAAGTAGCACACTTTTAAATTTTCTCCTTTGGGACACATATGGTCATTTGGCCCTCGCAGGAGTGACTGGGAAAAAAGCCACATATTTTAGTCGGCTAGTAGGAGTTTTCGTCATTTTAAGAACTCGCTCAGTTCGGCTTGCGTCAATTTCATATTGTCCATTAAGTCAGAGATTTCTAAATTTCCGCCTGCTCTCGAACAGGATCTTAGGGGATTTAAAAGGCTTCAATTGGTGTTCCACGAGGGCAGCCATATAATTCTGCCGACTTTGTTTTCCGTAGACATCCCTGGAGCTTAGAAAACAAAGGGTTGTCAAAAGACCCCTAAATTGTGATTACTTTGAACTAAAATATTCTGAAAAAATGCTAAATGCCATGAAATTCCGGATAACAACCTAAAGATCGGTTAAATCTCGAGGAGCTGTCTGGGGTAGTCTATCGTATCCCGTGCCAAAACTGTTTTTGTAACCACGCGGACCAGACTGAAAACATGCGCGAATCGCGCGTGCACCAACATAATCTTGCTGTGCAATGGGAAGACAAATTATTGAAAGTGGCTGCCCCCTTCGCCCTCATGAGCTTGACTTTGCAGCCACCAGGATAATTCCCCACACCGGAAACAATATGAGCCAAGGGTTGACTGAAGCCTGGTCCCCAGATGAGAACTCAGTCGATCGATTTATCGATCTGGCGCCTGCGTACAGAACCCGGTGCAGTTACCTCCAGTCCTGCGACCTTGGTCTGTGATTGGCTAGTCCCCCCTAAAGCTGTCGTTCGTCCTGTTGTTGCAACTATCTGACGTTGGACTTTTGTACAAGTTCGAAAGCTCAGAACGCTAAACAAATTATTCCAGTGCTCGACCCTTTCCTTCTTTACCTATTCAGATATCCGGAACTTGAGCAGTTTCCCCCATTCGTGAAACACCTGACTTTTCTATGCTTCAGAAATACAAAAGTATCTATTACCTGAGTACCGTCTAGTTTCTTAGCAGGTAGACGGTTTGGAAGGCTGTCGGTAGAAAGTTATCATGTTACTTTGCGCAAAATTGTCGCAAGTTATGTTTCACGCTTAGGAAAACTGCATATCAGCATCAACAGGGGGGTTAAGGATTTCTTTCAATGCTTTATGCGATTCTGTGCGTACAATGCAGAAATTCCGTAAGTAAACGTTTTTAAGTGTCTTGTCAAAGCAACTTACGCTACTTTTGGCCGTCTTCAATGGAGTGATATAGTACTTGTTAAAGGCCCAAACACGCGTGTTTCGCCGATATTCTGCCGCTGCATGGCACAGCTGCGAGGAGTTCGGCTCTTCAGTAGGCCCGCCAGCATTCCTTGTCTGTTTTCTGGTAGATACTCCAGTTTAAAAATTGCTGCTTTTTAATTTCCACAGAAATTAACTGAGAATTTAGAGTAGGCCAGTATATATTAATGTTCAATGTTCACTACTGCTGGTACATCACTCGAGAAAACTGTATGCTGTCGATCCGCTGGCTTCACGAAGAAGCTTCAGATAGTGGAGATTCCCTGTAGCGACTTTGACCGAGAATTCCTGTCTCACTTTCTGGCCATCTGACACGTTTCCTAGCATGTCATGAAGTCGTCGTGCATGCAGACCGCAAATCGGCAACGGTATAGAAAAGGACCCCACTCAACTGTCAGTAGACTGTGAATCATGCCATACGTGATTTGTGGTAAAGGAAGTTTTATGGGTGGGGCAGCACGCTAGAAAGTAAGCTGACAAAATAAAAGAAAACACAAAAATTGCCTAGATTTAAGCCGAAAGTCTTATCCTACGCTAATGTATGACAACGGAAATGGGAGTGGTAGTTAAACAATAAATAAAAAGTGAATTTCACAAAATAACGGATTTCGAATTAAGGTATGAGGTCGGGGGAAGTAATCGTTGTTGGCAGTGTAATTTCTGCGACGGCCTGCAAATGTATGCTAAGATAAAACCCCGCACGACACGATCCACAGTCTACTGACAGTTAAGTGGGGTCCTTCTCTATACCGTTTCCCGCAAACCTCTTCTATTCG